AATGTGTAATAAATATTTTTGGATCAGTTGTTTTTGTATTAACTAATTTTTTCGTTCTTGTGGTAATCTCTTTGGTAAGGGAGTCTCCTCAAATCCTAAATTGACTCTAAAATGAACCTTAATTTGAAATTCACTATACTGTCTATATTCCCATGTTAAATATATTGGTCGCATTTTTTTGGGAAACCATGTGTTGGCATCACAGTTTTTGAAAATTTCCATTTATTGGGTGGATATCTACACTATTTCAACTGAATTTTCTCAAACATTGTGTTTGAATATAGTATGGGTACAGGCAATGACAGTGAAAGTATATTCTAACAAGGAATGAAAGATGAGAGCTATCTTGTGCTTTCTGTGGTGCTATCTTCTTTGTCTATGGCTTTATTTTCAAACATGGTGTTTTAATCCATGCTTTGTATACTTTATATCTGAATATTTTCCAAATTTATTTCCCTCCTTAAAGTACGTTGTACGATCTCCTGTTCCATAATAAGACTGCTCATTTGATGAGACGAGATTATATTCTGTATAAACACTGAATTCTTAGAATGCCTCTCTCTGCCAGGGTGAAATCACAGATATATTAATGGCCTACTTTTCCTATACCAAGAAAATTGATTTCCCCTTTGTTTCTAAGGAAAATCATTTTGAGGGTACTTGCCACTATGTGATGAATGGCACTATAAAAACACTTTCGGATGTCAGGAAGGAGAACTCTGGTTTAAAAATTGTTTAATCCATGCAGTGCAATTTTATTCCCTTAAAAATACATTGAGTTTTGGCATGACATTCCTATTCACTGTCTCCTTAACTTAATCCACACAACTGTGTATATGTACCATCTAATGCTCAACAAGCAGTAAGGAGGACACTACCAACTGGTATCTTTAGTTGCTGATCACCTTATGCCTAGTCCTGTATTTTCTGGACTTGCCAAGTGTGCCTAGCAACTTATTTCCTGGTTTATATCATTTACTCCTCTACTGTCTAGCGGAACTCACATTTCAATGCCTGAGACTCTGAGATAAAATTGAGTGGGATGGTGAGTCTACTAAGATATTTGCTTAAGAATCTTAAAGAAGCATACACATGAATGTGTTGGAACCAGATTTTAAGTGAACAAAGTGAAAACCTGCTTTTCTCTTGTGGTTATTTCAGGCTTTTCTATTTATAAAGTAACCTTCCCATATGGTTTCTCCATATAAATCTAAAATATTCCATATTGATAGAAGAATGATTTAAGCTTACTTTTCATGATACAGCACAGTAAAGAATTTGGCCTTAATTCTACTTGCTTTTTTAGTTTGTTTCAGCATGAAGGGACCACTGGAAATTCTAACAGAATTACTATATTGTGTTCATATACACAGAAACTCTATATATGCTGTGATAGTCCTAGCACATTCTATTAATTATGGAAATCACTTTCATTTCAATAGTGGAATTTACATGACAACAGCTTCTGGGGCTCAGTGGAGCATCAGACTTGCATGTCACAGAATTCCCTTGTACTGTGGGCGTTGACAGGGTTCTGTTGACAACAAATTTGCAATGAAAATGTCTCATAATTGTGTATCCACATAGAACATTGCTCAGAAGGGATCGTTTCAATATTCACACTGGTCACCAATGTCAGAGAAGGCAATTTCCTCACTCTTACCTTAGTTAACCAAATTATTAGAAATATATAGCCATAAACATACATATAAATGGCCTAAAAGATTTATCTATATATTTAGCAAAGATATCTGGATGGAGAGCTATCACCTTTGTATTCTTATAACTCTATTAGGGTTTTATATTTTTATAAATTTTCTATTTACATGCAGACTCTAAATCAGATAAGAGGATGAACTAGTCCAGAAGGGTAGGAGGAGTTAGTAATATTATAAAACAATCAGAAAAAAATTAGGCTGAATATCAGAGCAAAGTTCTTAATAGGGGAGAATCATATGTAAAATAGTCTAACACTCTGGAAGAAGTCATTATCTGAATCATTTAAAATTAGACTGGACTGAAGAATTCCAAAATACAATAAGACCAAGCCCACTTTACAAGTGAAGAGGAGGATGATCTAATAGTTTCTATCATCTCAGTGATTACTATGATTTTACTCATTTTATGTGTTCAATCTTGATAGATAATCTTCTCTCATTTTATGCTACTTTTTGAGAACAATTTAAGCAAATTCATGTAATGCAGAATTGGATGCATTTAGCAGAGACTCAAAAGAGATGTGAATGCACAATGAACTCTGTGTAAAATAGTAAAGCGAGACAACTGAGTAAACATCTACCCTTTTTTGGAAGTTAGCACTGGGGAAAACAAGTCTCACCCCATAACTCTGGCTTTATTCCAGTGTGCATAAATGTATCCTGCTCTCCTGCCTTTTCAACAGTAATTAGATATTAGTTCTCATTTATTTTGTTGAATGGTTTCTTGGGGTGATATTTTTTCTTTTGGTGATGTCGAGTGCAGGAAAACAAATGGAATATTTCATCCCCAAGCCAACAGGCTATATTTTGTTAGGAGGAAAAAAAAAATCTCTAGAAAGAGACCACATTTCCTTTTGTGATTGATCATTTTTATGGAATGTACAAGAAAGAGAAGATGATTTAATGGAAAAAAAAGTTTGACATAAAAAATAGAGGAAAATGTACCCAGAGAAGTTGTAATATGCTGTTGTGGTGAATCTTTTAAAATAAGAATGTCTTCAATTTTGTGTGCTTCTAATTGATCACCTGTCATGGAGTAGACAAGTAGGACAGGCAACCTTTTGATAATTATCCAAATTATGTCATGCAATACATGCATTAATTTAATTTTTAATCACTTAATTTTATACTATCTTTGTATTTAACTTAATTGCAGTAACATAAAATCAGAGATGGGCTCATTTTGATATTTGATAAGTGTAAATCAGATGATTTGTTTCACAATTATGTACACAGACTTTTTAAAAAGTCCACCATATACAAAAGTTCAATTAACAGAGTTTATTTTCATTATTTATAATATCCATGTAGCTTTCCACATATTTTCTTCACTTACAGATGGCATATTCCTGAAGTACAAAAAATACCATTCAACATAAATAAATATCCTTTTCATTAAGTCCCATAATTTAGTCTATTTTGTGTGTTAGCACAGTTTTCTCTAATTTAAGGTGCACATTTTGTTAGTAAGAGTCTAGATTATAGAACTAGTGGCTTAATGCTAAAATTTGGTGGAGTGGCAGGGCTTATTAATATTGTAAGTTTTCTTATTCATATTTTTTGTTTTTAGTCAAATGAGTATAGATTTAGTCCAATGAATATAAATTTCCACTGCCTTATTTGTGAAAGTATGAATTTCAAGACTTCCTTTCCACATTTTGTATGCCAAACACCTGTGTTACTTTACACATAAATCTAGATAGCCTAGGACCTGTCTATTCAAAGTATCTGTGTATTCCTGCTGGGCAATCAGTACCTCAAAGGATGGACAGCTCAAACCCACAGGTGGGGGAAATCTTTGTAAATATGATGCTGCACTTGCAGAAAGGAAAATATCACTTTATTAATGCCTGATGTATAATGGTTTTCGGATCTTTTCAAATTCTATTTGAATGTTTTTGGGAAAAGGCACATAGCAGTATAATAGAATCATAATGACAATTGAAGTGTCCTGAAAATATTTGGTAGGAATTGTTGTCCTAAGGAGTTTAGTTAGTATAATGGTAACCCATATGTTTTCAGTAATACATATTTGAAATATACTTAGGCAAACAATAGAGTTTAGGTACCAGCTTTAATATATGATCAGATAAACAAAAACAGATTTACACTTAGGTAAATGAATAATGCTCCCAAATGAATGCTTCTTTCATTTCTACCCAAAGAAACATAACATTGCTCTAGTGAACAGTTCTAGGTCCCAGCAACACAAAGAAATTCAAGCAAAGAAACTCCAAGTAATGAACTGTGCCTGGGGTGCTAAACTCATACTAATGTCAGCTCACAATAATCTCAACTTTGAATATGCCAATATGTAATCATCTCTATACATAACCCAAATAAATCTTTATTATTCAAACAAGAATGGACATATTTTATAAGTAAATCTGTTGAGTACTTGACCAGAGATCTTTAGGAGTGTGTAGTTCTGTTTTCAAAATTCACAATGCTCTAAGATACTTAACAAACCATCAATCTTAAAGTATTATACCTTTGAGACTTTTTACACATTTGTTGACCCAAGGAAGAACTAGAAGCAAATTAAATGAAAATTTTAAGATCAAGCTTATTTGATTTATTATTTAGTCTATTTTTGGATGGGAATCTCCCATCCTCTTAGTTATCTCACTGTCAGATAAGAAAATGGAACAGGATCCATGAAGAGATATGCTCCCAGTCTGGCTCTTTGATTTTTTCATTCAAGCCCAAAGGAGAGAAGGGCAGCAAGTTAGGGCTCCTTTCCAAGCATGCTTGTGGGAGGGAGGACCTCTGACTGCCCCTGGCTGCAAAGCTTATACGGGCAGTACCAGATCCTGCAGACCGCTACCCACCTCGCCTGGCAACCTCCACACCCACATGAAACTGCCAGTGTGTCAGCCAGTCATCTCACGGGTTCCTGTGCACAAAGCCTAGCAAGATCCCAAATAGAAATGAATCGTGAGCCCAGAGCAGAGCTGGAGGCGGTTGGCTTGTGAGTCTGGTGTCTCTGGGGGTCCACCAGTGCTAGTTAGTCCCTTTCCCTCTTGCTCCCTGGCTGCAGATGTGTACTCTGAAATCTGCCTCCTTCCGGAGACACAGATGTGCGCGCAAACACACACATTTTCACTCACGCACACCTACACCTCCTCTGCCCTCTACCTTTCCCATCCCCGGCATATCTATAGGGACTGGTCCGTGCTGTGCCTCTACTTTCCCAGCTGTGCCTGCCCCATACAACACCCAAGCTCCTGCGCCCTCGCTGGGCGCCCTCCAGAGGGACACATCCTCCTCTGGGCTCCTTACCTCGCACCGACAACTCCTGGCAGGAACTGGAGCTGACCACGGTGGCGGCGGTGAGCCTGCACTTGGGCTCTGGCTCATGGTTGGTCCTCTTCATCCGACACAAAAGGGGTAGCTTGCTGCCTTTGTCCTTTCCAAATCCAAGGGAGAACTTATTTTGCCCCCGAAATGGCCAACTTGTGCGTGCAGCTTCCTGTCACAGTGCCCCCTGCCCCCGCCCCCTCCTGGCTGTGCGCTGGACCATTGCCCAGCGGCAGAGCATCCAGGCCTCCGAGTCAAGGGGGAGTGGGAAAAGGGAGGGGTAGAGGAGAAAAGAGGGAGGAGGTTGGGGGAAATGGGGACCCAGTGGTCTTCTGCAGAGGGAAGGGAAGTACTTCAAAGCCCAGTTCCCCTCCTCCTCTTTACAGGCAAACCCACTTCCTAGGCTCGGAAGCAACTTTCCTTCACCTTGGACAGGCTGAAACCGTCGCAGCTAATTGGGACTCTCAGCTGAGGCATGGACCTTCTGGCATCCTTTCCTTTTCATTTGTTTCCCCCTTTACTCGTTCTCTTTTTCCCTTTTCTCTCCCCTCCCCCTTCTTCCCTCCTTTTATAGGGGTGTATCTGCAGAGTCTTCAGTGAGACAGGGTACCTAGAGAAGAGGAGGATTATAAAGAAAGCCAGGGCGGTTTTGCTGGTTGCTCTGCCTCACTGGGATTGCAATCCTTAGGCAGTGCAAGCGAAGGTCGGTGAATTTCGGAGAAGTGGGGTAAAGGGGCGTGGGGCAGTAGAGTGGGCGTCGGCTCCAACTTTGAAGCTCTGCTACAGCTCTCGGCTTGCAGGTGAGCAGGGACTAACAGTCGTTTCTAGGAAGAACTCTCCTGTGGGTCCCCGTGCAACTGGCTGACCGCATGCTGGAGGAGACAAGGGAAAGCAGGAGCGAGTGAGCCAGGGAGGCGGTGCGCAGCTCTGCCCCACACGCGGCTTAACTGCACATTGGGAGCCCCGGGAGAGGGCTTTTGCAGAACAATCCCTGGGTCAGGAGGGAGGGAGACGCTCCGGTTTCCTAGCAACTCTCATCAATCTTCTCCGGATAGCTCCCTCTGAAGGAATTCGATTGGACAGCCCCAGGAGAGAAGTCACGCCCCTTCAAGAATGCTGGGCTGCTGCTTTTTCTCATTCTCCCAAATTTCTTGGGCGGAATAAGATTCTAGAGGAGTGTGAAATTATCTTCTTTTTTATGCTACTGTGCAAACCACACTGCTCCCTTACAGCTACCCCCTACACTCCCAGATTAGTCCTGTAGTCCTACTTGTGATTAAAATTGTCAGGGTTTTCTACAGAACCTCTTCTTTCTTCTTAAAATTAAATAAATAAAAACCCTAAATCGGTGACGTAGGCACAAAAGAGAAAAAGGCACACGGAAATAGCCTTAATAGGCTGCAAGCTACAGATAAAATCCTAAAGGTAAAATTCCAGACATCCATTCTGTATTTAGAAATGCGTCGTGTTTAATTTCAAAATAAAACTTCACTAATTTTTCCACCCTGATATACCAACTTTGTATTAATCAAGAACTGAGTTATATGAAGCCAGACACAATTGAAATTAATGCTTAGATGCTTCATTTATTCTTTAATGTTAAGTTGTTTAACTCCTGTCTTTTGTAACCTAACTGGAACATTTAAACTACATAAATAATCGAACAACGATTCTTTTAGAGGGCCAGTAATATTTAGAAGGCAAACGTGCATATGTATTTTATTTTAAATTCCACTAAACCAAGAAATTTAGGTATTCAAATAGTTAGCATTTTTTATTATATAGCAAAATGCCAGAAGTGCCTCTTTAAAACCTTTTTAGAATGCAATGGTATCACCATAATACAAAGAAAAGTGACTCTTTATATTTTATTACTACTATCTAACATTTAGTTCAGTACAAACACATTAGGTCTTTGAGAGACAATGTCTGTCCAATGGAAAACTGAGTATCAAGGAGCAATGACAGAAATAATGAGGAAGATAAAGTCTTGGGCACTGCAAAGATCTTCATATACTCAAAAAGCCACACTAGCAGATTTTGATCTCTTTCAGAATGTGCCAGAAGATATCATCATGTATTTCTAAGACCTTATCAGAATCAGTTGAGATTGATAAAAGTAGAAGAGTTCTGGTATCTGCATCACATTTAAAAAGAAATGTAGGTGTTTGTGCAAAGAGTTTCTGATATCTGGCATAGCCTGTATGTAGACACTTAATATATCAATGCTTGTAATGTGTAGTGACTGAAATACTGAAGCAAATTACCTGTCTGTTATCAGAGCTGGTCTTATGGGATACTTCTTGCCCTTCCCCATTCTGATGAACCAAAATGCCATTCTGCTTGATGTAAACACATTGCCTAAATTTGAATCTGGAATTCTCATCATTTCATAGCTGTGTAACCTTGGACTAGTTTCTTAAACTCTGTTTTTAATCATCTATAAAATGGACTAATTGTTTATACTTCAGTTGTTTATCTTAAAGATTAGTAGATCCATGTAAACAGCATATAAATATTAATTACTATTATTAGTTTCTTGTTTATAGTTAGCTGATGGCATTTTATCATCAAACATATAGAATATTTATTGGAAGGTAATTCACCTTGAACTTCTTCCTTAGTAAATTAAATACATCATTGACCAGAAATATAGCTTAGCTTTTAGCATTTATTTGTTGGTGTTTATTTTCAAGTTGCTTTACAAAAGCTTCAAGGAATCAGGCTAAATAATTGCTGACTAAATGACACACCAATTAAGAAATTACATTTTTTCTGTCCCCTCACCCTCCCCAAGTGTTCTAGCTGGGCTCCATTTCTAACAATTCTAGTTTCCCTTTTTAAGTACTTCTGGTGTAGCATCTTTATCAAAACCAAATCTTGGGCTGGGGTTGTGGCTTAGTAGTAGTGTGCCTGCCTGGTATGTGTGAGACACTAGGTTCAATCCTCAGCACCACATAAAAATAAATAAATAAAGTATTGTGCCCATCTATAATTAAAAAAAAGTTGATAAAAAAAACTTCATTTTTTTTTCAAGTAAAATAGATGTGTGTTTAGCATCTGGATTACTTTCTAGTTCATATTGTTTTACTAGTTTAAACTTTAATCCATTTACATTTGTACAAATGATTAATCATGATATTTCTATTAGAGCACTTTATAGTAAACACACTGATTTTTTATTTTTTGCTTTAAAAATATGGCCTACAAAGTATATACCATCTTTCATCAGAAAGTAACCGGGAAACTGATGTACTATCATCATTAATTACAGATAAAATACTTTCCCATCCTTATGCTGATCACTAGCATTCTCTTCAGAGCAAATTTCTTTTTCAATTCAGAATTCAATTTCATTGCTGTGTTTTACTACTATTGAGGATTATACAATTATTTTGATCATATACTATACCATCTTACACAGAACAGTTCTGGTTTATGCCTGCTATCTGGGTGTATTCAGAGACCTTACTTTATTTATCAAAAGTGTCAGGTTTGGGCATTAAATCATATAGCTCCTCCAACCTTCTAAGTATCTGACCATACAATATCTTTTGACTCAGTCTGTGATTGCTTTGTCTGCCCTATGACTCTTAAATTTATTTGTATAACTTTTCCAGGATAGGACTGATCAATTATAGAAATTTATTACATATATCTTTGTAAATTATAGTATACTTAAAAAATATTAAAGTTTCTTTAATTTGCTTGTAAGCATAACTCTTATTCATTTTTTTTTTTTGATACGAGGAATTGAACCCAGGGGCATTTAACCACCGAGTTATATCCCCATCCTTTTAATATTTTTTATTTTGAAATGGAGTCTTGCTAAGAGGCATGGCATCTTGATAAGTTGTTCAGGCTGGCCTTGAGCTTGCAATTCTCCTGCCTCAGTCTCCTAAGCTGTGGGGTTAGAGGCATGTGCCACCACACCCAACTATTTTTAAATAGAAGAAAGATCAGTGGAGTAGACAAAGGAGAATGAATGGAATAGGGAAAGGCAGTGGAATGAATGTGACCTAATTTTCCTATGTATGTATGTGAATATACCACAGTGAATCTCAACATTTACAACACACTAAAAAAAAAAAAAAGTAGCAGAAAGATCAGTAGACTATAGGGAAGAAAGAGGGAGGAGGGGAGGAAAAGGAGATTTACTGGGGACTGAATTAGAGTAAATTATATTCCGTGCTTTTAGAATTATGTCAAAATGAATCCTACTGTTACGTATAATTAGAACCAATAAAAGTTTCTTGTTTTGTCTATAAATTCTGATTTTGATTATTGTTACACAATATTAAAAAAATCCTAGCCTTGGTTTTGACTAAAGCTCCAAGAAAAAGAGGTGCCAACATCCATATTTCAAAGAGTTTTCAGTCTGCTTGTATTGAATTTGAGTTGGGGTATCTTTAAACCATATGGAATGTAAGAGTCACAGTATAACAAGTAGAAAGGGGAAGGACACTGGAATATGGAGAATTTTCTATGTGCTCTAATGGGGCAGATACAGGCTAGAATGAATGTGCTGCTGCTATAGGGAAATCACCCCTGTGTTGCCCTGGAATTAGGGGATGTAGTGGGCTGCTTTTTAATTCACAATAGAGAAGACAAAGTGTTGTTGCCTAGTTTGTCTCTCAGAGGCCCGAGGGAAGAGGCTTTTGGCAGGTAAATGGGAGGGTTTCTTTTACACTTCTTGTGGAGAGAGTAAGCGTGGAGAAGGAGACACATTTTCTTAGCTCCTACCTGGAAGGGATTAATGAGAATCTGTGGATTTCATAGATATCTCTGGAGGGTACAGGACTGTGGTAGCGGAACCTTGAGGTTGTGCTCTGCACAAAGGTGCCTGGCTATCAGAGAAGTAAAGGAGAGCTATTCTTCTGTGGAGCGGTATCAACCTGGGGGAGGGCATCTGTTTGTACTCCATCAATCTGGTGCGATGGCTTTTTAAAAAATTCACATAATTGATGGTAAGAGAAGCCTGAAGGTGAAGTGGGGAGGCCAGTAGTAAGTCGCCAGTCATGAATGCTTCATCAGAATTGGGTCAGATTCTGCAGTGAGAGATCCCAGGAGCCTTAGGGTCTTCAGAGGATGGACTAAATTGGCATCTGCAAAGTCAGTGTTGAAAACTGCTCAGCCCAGGGAAAAGCAATGCTAGAGCAGTACTGGACAAACCAGAGTTTCTTTGTCCCTTCATACTTGGTCTTTGACCTCTGCTACTAAGAGTTCAAAAGTTCCAGCCTATGATTTAAGGTAAAGAGGGGATGAGGACAGAAGAGACTGTTGGCTCCAATTGTGGGCTTCCCTCCTGATGCTCCCCAGGTTGAGTGAGGGGCACAGCATCAGCTCTGAGGGATGTTTTGAGTTTTGGTTATTATTCTGCCTTAGATCTAGTTCCTCCTGTGTCTGTAATGTATTTATTTTTACTGATGTGTGAAGAGTGAAGGGAAGGGGCGCTGGGGCTGTGCCTCAGTGGTAGAGCACTTGCCTAGCATGCGTGAGGCACTGGGTTCGATCCTCAGCACCACATAAAAATAAAATAATGATAAAATAAAGATATTGTGTCCACCTATAACTAAAAAAAAATTAAAAAAAAACAGTGAAGGGAAGAATTTTTATCCTGGAAATATTTGAAAGTCAAGGTGCTGGCCTTGAATACATCCAAGGGGGATAGAGAAGAACTAGCAACATAGGTAAGGTATGCAGGGCCAATGGTGTTTTTGTGGTGCTTTGAGCTTTATTTGGGCTCTTTTTTTTTTTTTTTTTTTTGTACCAGGGATTGAACCCAGTAAATTATTTCTTCATTTTGAGACAGGATTTTGATAAGTTGCTTAGGGTCTTGCTAAGTTGCTGAGCCCTGAGGCTGGCTTTGAACTTACAATCCTTCTGCCTGGGCCTCTGGAGCTGCTGCACTGTCACTCCTGGTTACTTTGGATTCTTAAGCAATTCCCC